CGTTGCAATAACTCTGCGTAGTATTGACCAGTGATAATCTTACCGTTTACGCATGTATAAAATTCCTCTCGCATCCCAAAAAACAGTAGCCATAACCTTGTTTGCCGATAAAATTGTTTTAGCCTTTTTGGAGCTGGTTTTCCTTTTGCAATCCACTGTTTTGACTGTTCCTTATTCTCAGGAGTGTAGCTGCGAATTGACCCAAAAATTCTTTTCTATTACGCCTATAAAGCGCCAGATTGTCGGTAGAAATATATTTTCGATTCAGTTTTTGATCAAGCGTTAGCAAACACTCTGCATTTTAAATACAGAAACCCACTGCTTAATAGTTGAATATGATGGGGAGGAGTCTCCTAGTGTTGATTCCATCTCTTAATGAACTAATGAAAGCACGTTGTTTTAATTTATCCATTTTCACGAAAACAACAGAAGTGTCTTGGGCAGTGTGATCTTAAACGCAATAACATTAGCGAATAGGCTGAAACTGTAAAAACAATACAATTTATTTTAAGTTTTCCAGTATTTACCCTTGGTTCTGTATAACACTATTACTATAACATCAGTTGGCTATGACCAAATGACATAAAATTTTTACCTGACAACTGAGTAAATAAAATTTATAAAATTTATTGTGGTGTCAGTAAATTAAAAAAAAATAAACCTGGGTTTTCCTAAAGCTGACTTAATTGACATTATTTATATACTGGCTGAGGCTTTGTTGGGAGTAACACTTTACAAAGCGGAGTACCCTAATAGGCACATACCAACCAAACGGTCTCTTCAGTGTTTGGAATGGTTTGATGCTAGTGGTAGTACTGAATATGAAAAACGGAAAGTGGTAAACCGGAATTGCGACCAATGAGGAAAAAGAATTGAAAATTTTACTCACGTTCAAGGTCAGTTCTGTAGCATGTAATCAATAGCTTATGAGAAAAAGTAAATCATCCCTTCCAAGTTATAAATGAAGCAATAGAGGCCGATCCAAATTTTTTGTCTGAAATAATGTTTTCCGATGAATCTCCCTGCAACACTTGATGTGGACAATAGAATTCGGAAAACACCGTTTATGCTAAGGAACGTCCAAGAAAATATACGAAAAACTCTAAAAATGTATATTCAAGGCGAAGGGCATATTTTTGAACATTTATTGTGCCATAATAATAATTAAAATAAGATAAGTCCATTTGTACTAATAGATATTTAATATTATTTACCATCAAAAATAACTCCAACAAAGTTATTTCTCCTATTCAATAGTTTTGTTATGGCCAACTAATCTTATAGCGATATGCAGAATAAAGTATTGGAAACGTTAAAATAAATCCCAAAGTATTAAACATAGGTATTTCACATTACTGAAAAAACTGAAAACTATATTTATAGATAATTTTTAACTTGAAAATAATTAGGTTTAGGTAAATGCAAGAATTGTAACAAATTTCGAAAATGGTTGATCCTTGGAACACTTGGAACGAATTTAATATTTTCTGCAATCTCCATCCGCGTCAAACACAGCTTGAAGTCTTCAGCTCAAGGTCATGAAAGGAGTTATGAAGGTTTGAATGTTGGTATTGTGGAGCCATTGTGCAACGATGTTTGCAGTGTGGACAGGATAGTTGGCTTATTGAAAAATTTAATTACTGTTCCACATTGGGGACCATAAACGAAAACCTAAACTAACTAAAATGTTGATAAGGACCAACCATCTAACTTCGTCACAATTCTTGCTTTTAACTCTCTGCGCGTATGTGAAGCTATTTTAGACTTCCTTTTATTTTTCAAAGTATTTAAAAAGGCGCGTTTTTTTATGAAACCAGCCGCTTTTTTAATCGGTAGTATTTGGGAAGCCGTTAACTGTTTGACTAGAATCCATTATTGCTATTATACTTTCACCTATCCCCTATCATTCTATCAACTCAATCCACCAACAGACTAACAGAAACGTAGCATATCCTTTTGTATAGACATAATATATGTGCTAAGTTTCTGTTATTCTGTTCTTGAGTTGAGTTGTCAAACATTTAAAGCCTTTAAGTATTTATTTTTATCCACGACTTGTACTTTAAGAATATTAATGTATTATTATTATTATTCTCTCAAATGATAGATAAACAATGTTGCAGTTCTTATTACTGCATAATGTATTTAATTTTTCCAGAAATATTTCTTTCTTTCCGCTCGTCATTATGATTCACAAACCGTCCGATAGACTTTGAGAGATTGACAGATTAACTAACGCGTCAGACGATTTGCAGATTACCTATAACAGTGTAGTTAATTTGCACCTTGTATAGTGGCGTTTCATTGGTCGATACTTTTGAATCTACGGGATATCATGGACATGCCCACAATTAATACACAAAACATTTTTGACGTTTGATACTTTTGTCTTATTTTGTCAAATTTTATATAAATAATATATTTACGTGTTAGATAGTAAGTGCCTTAATGAATTTTTCTTCTGTCCAAAAATAAAAATATTTTTTGTTAGGTAAATACTAACCAACCCAAACTACTAACTAACCTCATTTACTTAACAAGAGAGAATTGGTATGTTATTATTTGCTTTTTCTTGTTATGACACTCATCCAAAAAAGGAAAATATAAAATGTCAAAAATCGTATTGTTCGATATGTTTTTTATTGGCTCTTCTCACAAGAAAATACTTACTTAGCATCCACTGCCTTGTAAATACACCAAATAATTTTAGTTTACACTTACTTCCTCGCATAAAGTTTCTTATTGGAAAATAAATGCCTTATATCTTCTTTAGCTGAGATTTAAGTAATGCTTAAAATTCTATAATATAGTGATCCCGATAAAAAAATATTACACACAAAATTCTTAACTATAGAACTCTGTTCTTGCTTACAATAATTTATTAGTAGGATGCTACTGAAAAAAAAATCCACGCTTTGAATTTTGTCAGTGAATATATTCGTGTTGTTTTGCTCCAAAAACTAACGGTCATAGAAAAAGTATAGTGTGCAACAGGTTCGGTAAACTTTTTAAGTCATTCGTTTATTAAACACTCGCCTCGCTCCGCACTGCTCCGCTCGTGTCAAATAGACTCCTGAGTCAAATGCGGTTTACCGCACTTGTTGCATAATATACTATTAATTTTTCATTATGCTTAGGTACCTATCTTTTATACACCGATCTAGCGTGCGTTTCCCACGGATCCGAACCACTTCAGACATTTCCGAGATTTTACCGCATCGGAATGGGAGCAATCGGATGTTTTCGGAGATCTTCGTTGAATTTTGACGTTTGTCAATTCTGACGGTCATGTCAGTGAATGTTTTCGTGTTGTTTTGGGAAAATGTACCCAAAAACTACCAGTCGTAGAAAAAGTATAGTATGCAACACGTTGGGTAAACTTTTTAAGTCACTCGTTTATTAAACATTCGCTCCGCTCGTGTCAAATAAACTCGTGAGTTAAATGCCGTTTACCGTACTTGTTGCATAATATACTATTATTTAGCATTATGCTACATAAAAACACAATATAGATATTTTAAATATCAAAAGGTAAACAGAAACTAAGAGCTAAGCAGACAAATCAAAATTTGGATAGTACATGACATCTTAAAAATCTTTTAAATTTATTAAGTGTATCATAGTAATTTTTCAAAGGAACTTCCACAGACTACTGTAATACTTTTTACAAAACTTCTGGATTTCTCCTGCGCCGGTTTTTGCTGAGTTGAAATTTATCTCTTGTTGGCTTCTTCAGAGCTTGACGTGATTATATATATATATATATATATATATATATATATATATATATATATATATATATATATATATATATATGATGACACTATATTCCGGGATATCATCCGTTCGCTCGTTGAACTCCGACTGGAATCCTGCAAATCCTGCATCCGACTGGAATCCTGCAGACGTTTCGCCAAAGTCTCACTTGGCATCTTCAATGCTCGCGCTCCGAAAACACTTCGAACACTCGGAGCGCCAGTCGGATGCAGGATTTGCAGGATTCCAGTCGGAGTTCAACGAGCGAACGGATGATATCCCGGAATATAGTGTCATTACATTTTTCCATCCGTGAATCAATACGTGAGAATATCATATATATATACATATATATTATATATATATATATATATATATATATATATATATATATATATATATATACGAACAAACCCATATATATATATATACGAACAAAGCCATTTATACGCTGTTTCTTTAATACCCTTTTTTACAATTTTCTTAAAAGTCTAGTTCTACTTATTGTCTCAAAGGCACGTTTAAATCTATAGAAATCTGTAGAAATATATAAATCTCTAAACAACCAAACAATCTTAACCACAACGGTCTTTGCCTTTCATTCGCGACAATGTTCTGACCCCTCCTTATGCATAAGCGGCAAAGAATACATTGGAGATACGAACGAAAAATATCAGCTACTCTCAAAGAACATGAAAGAGCCTAAAACAATTCTTCTACCAACGAAAAATCCGAGAATCTATAGAAATATATAAACAATTAAACAAACTTCAGTCAACCGAGGACAATGTTGATGTCCCTCATTTAACTCCGGTCCCCTAAAACAGAGTAGTACAGAGTAGAATGCGAGTCAGTTTCAGTAAAGCTTTGAAGAAGCCAACAGGAAGATTGGCGAAGCATACGAAAATTGGATTAATCCACAACCGACGCAAATGATTTAGGATGCTCTTAATCGATTCGCTTCAAAACTGCAGCAACAGAGGTGTAAGGAAAGAGGTAGGTGTGCGCGCGCATAGCGTGAAACAACCTGTATATCCTTCTATTACATTTCCTATTAACTAAGCTCTCACCGAAAACGAATGAATATTATTTGATAAAATTAGTTGTGGCGGTGATACAATTTGCTGAAATTGAAAATTTCTATTCCAGTTCGAAAAATTGCATTTTTGCAGAAAATATTTAAACGAAACTAACCAAAACCTTTGCTATTCGCGATATGAATTGACGAACATATTGCTACCCACCTGCCTTATTTCCAATTTCCAGCCGTCCAGAAGGGAATCGGAAATTTTCACGATTTCGTCCAGGCATCGGCAGAAATCATCAAAAGAGAATGCGAACTCCATGAACCTGAAATGTATTTCGACAAATTACTTACTAAAATGGCGTTCGAGGCCTATAATATGGGATAAAAACATGGCGGCGCTCCATGTTGGACGTTAAAATAACACAAACATTTCTTGTATTTCTTTTTTATTGGACCTGCATTCGAATTTATGGACCTCAAAGGGGACGAACGGAATATTCAATCTTTTAAAGCATTTTTCGGGCGATAAGCAACTGAATGGCTCCAAATCCTGCTGATTGGAAAAAAAACAAATTGAGGTTTCTTAATTTGAAATTTGATAATTAGTATAAACGAACACAATTTAACGTTTAGTGTGTTGTGTGTATTGGTGTATTGATCGATTCCAATTTACTCTTTACCGAACATATAAAAATTGTTACCCAGAGGGCATATATTTCACTCAAGCAACTTTACTCCAATCGTCGTTTTCTAAATACCAAAATGAATTTTACTTACTAATTTACTGTCTCATTTTAATTTGGCAAGCTTTATACAGGGTGGTTTCTAATTGAATGTCAATAATTAAGGGGCCGATATTTGAGTCCATTTTTAGAAGAAAACTTTACATGAAGATATATCCTAAACATCTCAACTTTTGAAATACAGGGTGGCAAAGCTTTCAAAAATAAAATATATTTTTTTTAGTTTCTGTAACACCACTTTAGATATGTTAATGAAATTTGGCACACATGTAATTCTTATCAAGAAGCATTTTTTAAAGTACGCCAGTGGCGGGCGTGCGGGTTCTCACCTGACTATTTTGGCAGGCATTGATGGTGTGCCACGGATTTCTCTTAAAATAAAAATCATTTCTACAGAAGTTTAATTTCCTCATTTAAACCCATAGTAGATACAAAAAAAAGTTTCTTACAAAAGTTTCCTGGTTCTCCTGAAGGTTTAAAATATTATATTATATTGTTGATACACATTATATTATTATATTGTTGATACACAAAAGTGACCGCCTCGACATCAACTTTCTTATTTTAAATGGAACACCTTGTATATTTTAGCATTTTTGGTATCCTTGGTTAAAATAAATGTCACTTTCTTAAAAAATTCGTATTCGAATTTTGCATAGTTTAGGCAGTAATTGAGGTTATGTTTTTTTTTCAAAATTTAACCACAGAATAAGGAGATGATGCACTACTCAATAAGTTGGACAGATGCGCCTCAGCTTATACAGGGTGTCCCAAATAGGTGATGCCGTTTTGGCGAATTCAGTTAACACAATCTCAAGATTTTCAAATGGAATTTAAAGCTGCCGACATTAGGTCACTTGTTGGCAATATTAGGTATTTTTTAAATAAGAGTTTATTAATACGCTTCAATGAAAGCGCAATCCAAGAGAAGAGTGTTGTAAAATTCCTGGGTGTTTAGGTAGACTCGAGACTCCTGGTTCGAACAGGTGGACCACATTCTCAAAAAACGATCTATTGACTGCTTTGTCATATGGTGGCTCCGCCATCAGGTTTTTTCCCCTTGTTAAAAATGACTATTTTCCCCATGTCTATTCCTGTCTCAACTACGCAGGTTTGTTGGGGGGGTTCCCCACGTGCGGAGCAAGTCTTTAGGATGCAGAAACGCATTTTACGGACTAAACTGTTTAAGCCGTGGAATTTTTCATGTCAAGACCTATTTCCACAACACTCTTTACTGACACTTCTCAGTAGGTACATACTAAGTTGTACCACGTATGTAAAAAGTAATTCTAATTTTTATATGCTCTCAAGAAACTCAGATATTCCGTACAATTTAAGACCGAATCTTAACATAAAAATACCTACATATCGACTATCTTTTACATCAAATAGTCCCTTTGTTTAGACTGTAAAAATATATAATAAACTGCTTATCGAACTGAAGGAGAGAGCTAGTCAAACAAAATTCAAATGCACTCCTAAAAACAAATTGCTACGTCTCGCCTATTACAATATTAAGGATTTTCTTTCTTGTGATAACTTTTAATACGAATTCGTTGTTTGTTATTCTTTATATATTTGTTATTTATGTAACATTATTACTTATTATTATTATTAAATAATTAATTATACTAAGATAATTTTATATTTTTACATTCGTATTATACTGACAATATCCAACACTGTCAACTCAAGTCTTATAGAAATAAAGCGATCTTTATCTTTATCTCTCGATAGGTGAAATTCCAAACGTTCGCCACTGGTGTATTCTAAAAAAATTGCTGTACACTAAACAACACCATTATAATATATAGTTAAATATTATATTGTTATATTATATGAGTGCTAAATTCCATTAAAATATAGTGGCATTACAGATATTAAAAAAATACATTTCATTTTTAAAAACTTTAACACCCTGTATCTCAAAAGTTAAGACCTTTAGGACATATGTTCTTAAGACATTTTCTTTTAAAATAAATTACACCAGAAAAAAATGACAACGAAATCGGCAATTTCGTGTTTGGGTATCTTCGGAAGTGAAGGGATTTTTTTAGTTGTCTTAATGGTGTTATTAACCTTTAACTATGCACGTTCCAGTATCTTTTCTTTCTTTCTTAAAAATTACTTAAAAAAAAACTGAAAATTGGGATGAATCGGGTAAGTTTTCTCAGCTCTTCTGACGGGTCAAGTCCTATCCTGAGTTGTGACGTACGCCCGCGACTGACGCACGAATTTTCCACGTGAGCGTGACGTAAGAGAGCTGGGATTCTCGCAGGAAGTGGGTATCTGCGATAGATGTTTACCGCGACATTCATAATCACAAAAACAGCTGATTGCCTTGCGCCGGTGCGCTTACGTAGAATTATATCTTAAACAAATATGTACGCATATTTAATTATCCTAAAGAGTTGGTATTCATCCTACGCGTACCAATTAGTAATGAAAAGTGAACGTCACGTATTTACCTACGTGATTTAGCAACTATGTTTTTGAATCTACGGGGTGAAATAAAACTAACGTTAAAATGAGAGCGTTACTATTGATTATTATAGTATACACAGTTCAAAAAAAAATTCTATGTAACAAAATAAAAATATTCGGCCATAATAACTTAGGTACCCTTGTGACAAATGAAATTCGTGATTAATATGGCGTTTGTCAAACAAGGGCCGCTTACTCTTAGATAGTTTTGAATAGTTAATAATAAATAATAATAATAAAGGCTTTTATTGGTCCAAAAAAATACAGATTAAATTTATATTATCTAATGAGCTAGGCGAGCTTCAGTTCAACCAGAAAAGGTCAATAAATCAGTTCCTAATAGTTGACTTATAAACTAGTCGCCAAGAATAACAATAAATTATGTGCAATTTATAAACTTATATATAACATATATGTCTTATAAGGGTCCCTGGATTAACATTGAGATGGAACAAATAAATACTGATTTAAAGAACAGTATGCGAATATTATTTAGTAATTTTACTTTTTACTAATCTTAGAAATATTACGGCGACTATAAGTTGTAAGGGTACGACGAAGTCGTAAGTAAATCTGTGTTGGGCGGATAAAATACCCAGTTGTAGAATTTAAACATCAAGAACAGTTTTGGGAAATGTTTGCGCTGGAATTGTTGGGAATTACTTAACCCATTTTCCTACCAGAAAGAATAAATAACCAATATTGGCTATAAGAAGTGACATAGTTAATTAGGTTGGCTAGTGCATGACGGAGCGCCTGCTCATTTTAGTGTTGCAGAAAGAAAATATTAAAATAGTTTTTATCTTTTTCTTATAGGGGCATCTTAAAAGTCTGGTACTTTGAAAAATTTTGAAGATATTTTATATGTGTTTTCGTCAGAATCTATTTCGCACTATTTTACTGTCTTTTATTGTGATTATGTTAGTCAAACCTTACGTCGGACTATTTTGAATATTCACATGAAACAGTTCGTTAAGTGCAACGAAAAGTTGAAATACGAATTTCTCGAAAACAGCGACTCGAGGCGAAATTTAAAGAAAGAAAGGTGTAGAAAGTGATATCTTTATTAAAAATCTCCATACACTATGGCGTAAGAAAGTTAGGACGTATTTTAGGAGTTATTTTAAAAAATCAAAAATAAAATTGTAACTTTGACACCCTGTATCTCGGTTAATATCAACTTTTGGACTAAGATAAGTTCCGTTAAATCATAATATTCTTACCTAAAGAATCTCTATTTTGTCATGTACCACCCTGTATATACGCACTAGCAATCCTTTTTGGCGGCAATTCCCAGGAGCGTTTCCTTATTTATTGGTACTTAGTTTCGCATTCGTAATAAGCGTCATTGCTTCTTCAGCAGAGTATGGTCGAAAATCAGTTTTATTCTTAGGACTAGAAGCTATGGCCTTTTAACATCTACTACATTTCTATTGCCTGTTTGGATTAGGCTAGACTGCGCTGTAAATAATATTGATTTTGGCGAATAACTTGATTTTTTGTCTTTGTTGTCTCACTTGCGAACTTTTTAAGGGATTTTTTTATAGTTGGCTTGCAAATATATTCCTGTAGCCAGCAGTATTGCTTTCAAAAGTTTTCTCACTTCCTTCCACTTGTTTTCCAACGGCGTGAAAAATTTGTCAAAAATAAAGAAATATTTTTAAATCTGTAAAATACACACCAATCTAGCGTGCGGGAAGCGTCACTTTACCACGTCAGTTTTGTTTCCAACGAATCGGAGCCACTTCGGACATTTCCGGGATTTTATGGCACGGGTTTGGCAGCAATCGTCCGAATTGACAAACGTCAATGGTAGCCATGCCCCTCGTATGACTGATTTCCATATTGATGAAAGGTAAAGACCTGAGTCTCGGTTAAGATTGTTTGGTTGCTCATAGATTTATATAGATTTTCGGATTTTTCGTTGGTAGAATAAAATTTGATGTTCGGTTTCGTGATTGTGATGGTAACTGCTGATGAGTTTAGTTGTCGTAGTCTTAAACCTCTTTCATGTTCTTTGAGCCTAGTTGACATTTTTCGTCCGGTTTCTCCAATGTATTCTTTGCCGTATATGCATGAAATGCTGTAAACTCCTGGCATTTCAAATTGAACTTTGTCTTTGACGGATCGAACAAGGCTTATGGAGAGAACATCAAGCGCAAAATCAGAAAGTTAGAAGATCGCCGACTGAAACTCGCAAGTTTACTCTGTACACTGACCTATTTGTTATGTTGTAGAGATCATAACGTCATCCCCAATTTTCTTAAAATATCCCATCATTTCAAAACCTCCGCTTATTAAATTCATCGACAATCTAGTTTTACTTTAGCTTTACTTCGAGAAAGCATTCATCACACCCGTAAGAAAATAGACCTAATCACCTTCTGTCTCTACATCTTGAAATTGCTATCATCTTGTCTGCATCCGAGTTCAATACCCTTTCAAAAATGATTCATGAAAAAGCTTTAAATCTCCGTTTATCTTCTACCCAGAATGACATTCAAAAAAACAACGCCAACACTAAGGAAATCATCAAACTCTTCTCAACTACGACACACTGTGATAAATGTATCATCGCACTAACCTTCGGAAACGGAAAAATCAGTTCTTTCAAAAGGTTCCAACTTGGTCCTTGCCCCACGTATTACACCAAAAGAGGAAATCACTGCAAATGTCGAGTCTATCCTGAAAAAACTACCTTTTCAAACAACTAATGAAATTTAATTTGAAACCGCAAATATCCCTAAAAAATCAAAACCCCCTAAATCTAACATTGCAAAGCCTGGACTCATTGCCCTAAAATCTCTAAAATCTAATCCAGACATCGTAATCCTAGAAACAGATAAAGGAAATGCTACGGTGATCATGAACACAAATGAATATCCGGAAAAGTTTCAAGATATTCATAGAGATGGATCATATCGTCCATTTAAAAAAGATCCTACGTCATCATCGAACGCAACCTTAAATCTATCATTAAGGCTTCTTCTCTATCAGACTCCGTGAAAAAATCTGTCACCTCTCATGACTCTAAAATTCCTTGTCTCTATGGATTCCCAAATATTCAGAAACCAATATTCCCTTCGACCTATTGTCAGCACCATTGGTTCTCCAACATATTCTCTAACAAAATATCTAGCTTCCTTATTAAAACCCTTTACAGGGAAAACTGACAGTTTCATACTTAATTCCTTGAGATACACAAGATATTCTTCGATGTTTCGATGTACTTTTCGAAAATCTGGAATGGAACCTTCTCACCTTAATTGAAAAATGCTTGTCTGGACCATATTTTTCTTAGAACGGTCAAATTTTTGAACAAACCTTGGGAAGAGCTATGGAAGAGCTCCACTATCACCAGTCATCGCAAATATATATAAGCAAGTATAAGCGGTTGACACCTTCCATCTAAAAACAGAATTATGGAAACGCTACGTCCATGATACTTTTGTTTTTGGCCTCAAGGTCAACATGTCAGCATATTTTCTTAGACATTTAAACTCTATACACTTTAACATATGTTTTGAAATATAAACTAATAACAACCTCCCATTCTTATCAATAGAAAATCAGACCTAACATTGGGTCAATGTGTTTACAAAAAACATACGCACACAGACCGATACCTTAATACATTGTCACATCACCATCCGGCCCAAAAATCATCGGTTATCAACTCTCTTTTTTACAGAACCGTAAAACTATCTCAGCCCGAGTTATTAAACCCAGAATTAAAACAACTTGCTCTGCTCTTCTGTCTAATAATTTCCGCTTTAAAGCGTTCCATCTCAAAATACACTACACCACAACCTTCCAATAGCAATGAAACCGAAAGCAATCCCAAACTTGCCACTGTTCACTTATATTCAAAACATCTCTGACCACACATCAAAAGTTCTAAAGAAATATAACGTCAAAACCAGATTTACCACTTCCGTCAAAGACCAAATTCCATTTGAGATGCCAGGAGTTTACAGCATTTCATGCATATGCGGCAAAAAATACATTGGAGAGACGGGACGAAAAATATCAAATTTTATTCGATAAAACAAAAATTCTTGCATGTAATCAATTCTTCTACCCACGAAAAATCCGAGAGTCTATAGAAATTTATAAGCAACCTAACAATCTTAACCGCAACTCAGGTCTCTACCTGTCACCAATATGGGAATCAGTTATCAGATACGTTGTTTATGCCCGTCAGTTAGCTCCGCTCCCCTCAAACAATATAAAAGCAGGTACAAAATAAGAGCCAGTTTCAGTCAAGCTCTGAAGAAGCCAACTGGATGATTTGCGAAAGGTTAGCTAGTTCGAATCAACAAAAACCGACGCAGGAGGAATCCAGAAGCATTTTAAAAAGTACAAATAGAAAATTTGTAATACCAAAATCCTTGATATCACTAACACTTAAGCATTTTTACCTACCGGAAGAAAAGTCAGACATGATCACATAAAAGATCTAATAAATTCCTATCGCTGTTAGGACACAGGACGGCCAAATTTCAAGCTGTAATGACAAGAATATAGCACAAACCGAGGGACAACCGACGCATACTTGATTCAAGCAAATGTGTTGTATTGCCTGGTTCTCATTCATGGGTAATTAGTTCAGTTTTAAATATTTCTGATTTCTAATATGCTCATCCTAAACCCTGCGCGACGCCATCGCCGGGTCTTTGGGAATGCGGTCGCCGCGGTGTGGTAAATAGTAATAAAAACCACAACGCTATGAATCACTGACTGTTCCTTTGACTAAACTCGACTTTTAACCAACACAGGACGAACATTTCGGTCTAGACGGATCGACCGTGTGGGCGCTAACGAAAACCAAACTAAAACAGTTCAACAATCCTATATTAACCTGTGATATAAATTTATGTTTTGTTTACTTGATTCGACATGAATAAGCTAAGGAACAAAGACACTTCGATACTTCCAAAGTATCGAATATTTTTGGTATGGATGTTATTCGCATTAGCTAAAATCGACCATTGCCCGAAAAAAAAAAGAGTGGAAATATACCCACAAATCGGCACAAAGTTGCGACACGCCCTCCATTTTCAAATCCCATTTAAGCCCAGAAATAAACTTACTTAATTAATATATCCAGGGAAATACAAACCAATAATTATACTGTTCTTGGATTTTAAGTTGGCTGATACATAAGATTATACAAGGTGTCGCGAAATTAGACGTCAATATTTTAACCACGTTTTCTGTGACCAAAAATAAGGACAAAACAACTAACTAACTAGGCTCCAAAACATCTTATTTTTAATATACGGGGTATTAAATTTGAAACGGTGATGGCCATTTTTTGTAAATATTTTCGAAACACGTAAATATTTTTAAATAAAATTAGGAACAGTTACTAAACTTTTTAGGCTCTATTTAACGAACTAAAACTTAGTATTGGATTGTCTTCAGGGGTGGGTAACATATGTTAAAAACTAAGACGTTTTAGACCCTAGCTTATATGAACTTTATCCTTGTTTTGGGTCACAGAATGCGGTTTTAAAATATATATATATATATATATATATATATATATATATATATATATATATATATATATATATATATATATATGGGGTTTGTTACAGCTCGCGCCGTTTTCCCTCTCTCAACCAGACTCTCCATTCATCTTTGTCATTCCATTCTCCGTCTTCCAACCCCCTTTCCTCCATGGCTTCATCTATTTCATCCCTCCACGATCTTCTGGGTCTTCCTCTCTTTCTACGTCCCATAGGGCTCCACTCTGTGATTTTCTTTATCCACCGTCTATCGTCACTTCGTCTGACATGACCATACCATTTAAGCTGTTTTTCTGCTATTGTAGTTAATAAGTCTTTTTCTACATTCATTTGCCTCTTGATTTCTGCGTTACGTATTCTATCCATGCGTGTTCGTTGGCAACACCTTCTCCAATATTCCATTTCTACGGCGGTTACTTTAGATTTGTTCTTTTTGTTCAATAGCCAGGTTTCTGCTCCGTATGTAATTATACTTTCTACTATTGTCTTAAATATTGTTGTTTTTGTTTTCTTTGTTAATTTCTTGTTCCATATAATGGAGTTCAGTTGTTTTATACATGTTCTACCCTGACCTAGTCTAGATTTGATTTCTTCTTCTGTTGATCCATCTTTTGTTATTATACACCCTAAGTATTTAAATTTGTCTGTTGCTTTTACGGTTGTGTTTTCATCTATTTCCAAATCTTCGATTTCCCCTTCTTTTGTTGTTAGATATTCTGTCTTTTCGAAGTTTATTTCCAAACCTACCTTCTCATATTCCTCTTTCAGCTTTCTGAGCATGTAACTCAAGTCGTCTTCATCCTGGGCTATGACCACCTGGTCGTCGGCAAAGCTTAGGGTGTATAAGTGGTCGTCGCGTACTGGGACTCCCATACCTTGACATTTTCTTTTCCATTGTGTTAGCGTCCTCTCAAGATAGATTTTAAACAACGTTGTTGATGTAGGGCATCCTTGTAGTAGGCCCTTTGATGTTGTGAATCGATTTGTGTACCTATTACCTATTTTAACCGACAACTCGTTGTTCTTGTACATTGTATCTACGGCTTTTATTAGTTCTCTTTCTATCCCAATATCTTCCATTGCTTTCCAAAGTTGTTGTCTGGGTATAAGCTTTTCTTATATCTATGAATGCTAAATGGATGTCTCTGTTTTTAGCTTTTTTCTTTTCGATAGTCTGCCTTACCGTATATATCTGATCAACGCATGACTTCCCTGCCGTGAAACCGGCTTGATCTTCACCTATTTTCCCTATTATCTGGTCTTCTATTTTGTTTTTGATTATCTTTCCATATAGTCTTCCCATGCTTGATATAATGCTAATTCCTCTGTAGTTGGTACACTTCCTACGATCCCCCTTCTTGAAAATAGAGCTTATATATGCCGTATTCCACTCCCTTGGTAACGTTTCTCCATTTATTGCTCTTTCAAACATGTTTTTTAATATTCTGAATAATTTGTCCGACCCATACTTAATAAGTTCATTCACTATCCCCCCTGGCCCTGGTGATTTTTTGTTTTTTAATTCTTTAATGGCTTTTATTATTTCTTTTTCTTCTATTGTTACATGCTTTAGATTGTTGTTAGGTTGTATTTGGTATGTTAGTTGTTGCCAGAATTGTGGTCGTGTCTCCGTTAGTAGTTGTTGATAATAATTTTCCCATTCGGTTTCTTTGATAAACTGTATATTGACTTTCTCTTTGGTATTTGATCTGACAGATCTTATTGTTCTCCATGATTCCGAGCATCTTGTACCTCCTGTATACTGTTGTATGTTTTGGCAGAGTCTATCCCATTTTTCATTTTTTTCTTTACTAATTAGTTTTTTTGTTTCTCTGTTTTTGTCCTTATATTTCTGTAGGTCTTCTCCCGAATTTGTACAGAGCCATTTTTGGTGTAAGCGCTTTTTTTCCTGAATAGCTGCAATAGCTTCCTCACTAAGTTCTTCTGGATATTTTTTGTTCTTTCCGTCTTCCTCTCCTAATGCTTCATAAGCTGCCTCTTTAATGCTCTTCTTCACGTGTTCGTAAGTGTCTGTTAAATTATTAAAATTGAACTCTATTAGTTTTTCATCAAGTCTACGTCTGTACAAATCTCTTATTGTTTCTTCCTCTAGGAGGTGAATTTTAAATCTTTTCTCTTTTATTTCCTTGTTGTTTTGGTTGTCTTTTTGTTGTTCTTGTTTTGCTGTCTCTTCTTTGTTTTTCTTTGCTACTCCATACCAAGGAAAGTGCATGTACGCAACTACCAGTCGATGATCGGTTCCGCACTCAGCGCTTCTTATAACTCTTACATCCTGTATCTTAATTGTTGTAGTTATCCTAACAACTATGTAATCTATTATGGATCTTAGATTCCTAGTTTCTTGTATCCAGGTGTATTTGTGGATGTCTTTATGTTTATAGAAGCCGTTGGTAATTTTTAAGTCGTTTAATTCGCAAATTTCAATCAATCTTTCACCATTGTCATTAATTGTGTCCTCCCCGAATTGGCCTACTGTTTTGTTATGTGCTTTATTTCCCGTCCTTCCGTTAAAGTCCCCAGCTATTATTATTTCTTGTTTAGTTTTCACTTTTTCAATTCCTTCCTTTAGAGTTTCAAAGAATGAAATTTTTTCTGTAGCGGGGCTGTCGTTTGTTGGTCCATATACTCCTAATAAAACTATTGATC